CGTTGCGAGGGTCGTTCCAGACCCCTCCCATCTCTGCCCACTAGATCCCATTAAGTCCTAGTAGATCCAAGTACATGCCAGTGCATCCCGACAAATTCCACTAGATCCCGGGGTCACATTCTGGAGGTCTTGCGTTTCATTCTGTATGGCGGCATCGTGTGCTCACCTGGTCTGTAGCTACAAAATCCAATCGGACGCCTTCCCCCTGAACATCAACAAGGGTGAAAACATAAAATTTGCAGCATGTCTTTAAATTTTCTTGTCTTAGAACCATCAAGATACAGCCTTCTCCCAAGCGATTTGACATGGTTGATGTGACCATGGTGTGAAGGGGTCTTATCGACTTCCCCGCATAGGAATTATGCTGCCCCAAAAAAGTTGATGTGACTAAAGGCCTTCACTGTATGCCACAATGGTCTCCGTGGTGTTTCGCCAGGTGGTGGCCGAAAACCAGCTGCGCTGCTGGTCCGATGTCGTGGGCTACAAGTGTGACAGGCGCCCGGGGATCGTTTTTCCGTTCGGAACATGATCTACAACAATGCATTAATGGCGTTTTTTTTTATGTATTGTATTATTGATTTACTGGAGGGGAATAAGGAACAACGTAAGATGAACTCTTAATGGCGGGTGAATGCTGGTTGAATGCTGGGTGAATGAGTGATGTGTTCAGCCATCATTTGAAAACACAATCTTTGGTGATTTGATTACATCTGGCTGGCTGGCAAATCACCATACCAATAGAAACCGGAGATGCCCCATAGATTTTCCATTGCCATGTTTGATTTGGAAGGCACTGTACTTGAAGATCTTGGAGGAAAACCGGCTATTTCAATCTTTATATCATCCGGACCACTAAGCATTGAGATCATTCAGAGAACTCAAGGGAATCATTTGCCAAGATCCAGCCATGATTTGGGAAGAATCACTGGAGAGATCAAGCCACGCTGATGCTGACGACTGTGAGTTTTGGATGGGTTCGAGGTTGGAATCCGTCGACGAAGGAGAGGTACCAGTGATCCCCCAAATTCATTCAGCAGAGGTTACTCCTCCGTAATCCCTAAATCAACTGGTTTATCATCATTTTCCCCCTTAAACAGCCATGATATCACCATAAAAAATCATGATATGTTGATATGTTCTGTTATTTTATTGGTAAACCATGGAAAAAACTCTATTTTTGGACATCCCCAGGCCGCCGCCAGGCAGAAGAGCCTCCACGAGTTGCAGTTGATGTCTCCGCGCAGTCGAAAGGACGACCCTGGCTGCACCTTTCTGCACCGCGATGGTGATACGAACGGAGTACAACAGATGGAGCCACTGGGGCGTGAGTTCGGAAAGTCATATTTGAGTTGAAGTTTCACGTTCTTTGATGATTTTTATCACCATTATCACTAAGACTATTATTATTGATATTATCATATGTTCTATTATATGTTTTATTATATGTTTTATTATATGCTTTATTATATATATAATGTGTGTGTGTGCGTGTGTGTTTTCCTCCTTCTTGTCCTTCTGGGCTCACATGTCAGCTGGCCGATGATCCAATGTCCTGATCACCATTTGCTTGATGAAGGGCCCATCGTAGGCATCTTTAGGAAACCCCTATATCAAAATATCAGATGGACATGATTCCTTTATTTGTTGCAAACATTCCCATGCACCAATCCATTAAATACAAATGACACTTGGTGAAAAACCTAACAACGGTTTGAACATGGTTGAACCATGCACATAAATAAATATAAAAAAAACTAATCAGTAAATAATAAATATATATATGTATATATTATAATTATATTATATATGTGCATTCCCATGTGTGTTTGCTGAAACCTATGGTGTTTACCAAGATAAAAAGGGCTAACCATGGCCATCGAACTTCACCGCATTGAGGATGGCTACCTCCGTGTGCCGACGTTTGCTGAAAGCCTCCATCAGCAGCTCCCAAATCCTGCAGGGTAAGGAGCAGAGTTCCAGGGCGATGGCCCGCTTTGTACGGGACGATTACAATGTTTTTTGTTGGGCTTAAAAAAAGATGGATTTATATATATATATATTTATGAATTGATCAGCAAGCTAGTTTGACATCATGAGTTTTGGGAGAAATCGCAGTTTTTTTCGATTGATTGTTGCATTATGGGCAGTTTTAAGATTGAAATACCTGGTTTGTCCATGGGAAAACCATTAGTGGACGTGGAATGGTCCAGACAAGGGGGATTTACCATGCGTTTGTTGCGATTTTGATGGGAAAATGAGATTCTAAAGTATTGTAAACTAATGGATTTTAGGACAAACCTAAACCTACACGGTTGGTATATCTTGGTGTCTGCGGGGAAACGGAAACGGTTGGATGTGTTTGGTACAAATTGCAAGCTTGCCTAAGCATTGCTAGATGCTGGAGTGCTATTTAAGCGCCCAATGCTTAGCAGGAGCCGAAATCAAATCATTCAGATACATTCATTGAATGTGACATGCCCCCCCGGGCGTCCAGCATGTTGTTTTTGATCATTGGTATGTTGGTGACTTCCTTGTTGAACCTTGGAGACCTTGAGGTGTTTCCATTGGAAGTTCTTCGTGTTTCCCAAGCGTACAGAGTTGGTGAAGGTATTCGTTTATTTCCCTATGGTAGAGCCACCAATTGGGGGAACCTATAGGGAAACATATATATATATATATATATAATGTTTCATGAGACCATCGGAAATCCCGCAACTTGTTCTTTTGAGGAGCTCAAAGATACCTTGCAGCTCTACGGGCTCCTTGGCCAATGGATGCACTTATAGGGGAATCATCGGAATCATTCCAACATTCACTGGCCAAAAAACATACAATCCCATCCCTTAAAAAAAAAAAACACACCCAGACACCATGTTCAGGGGCTGTTTAATATTGAAGGGATTGGATTCTGTATATATGTGCAGCCTAAGTTTCATCACACTACAAAGCTCCGGAACAAGACCAGTTACGAAGCTCCTTCGTTCCATACGTCCGGAACACGCGGAACTTTCCATACACAATTTTGACTCACAGCCATATATATATATATAGATAATATATATATATATATACAGTATACATGTATGTATACAGATGCATGTATTATTATAGTTATCATCATCAACAATGATATATATTGTTATTTATTACTATCATTGTTGCTAGTGTTACTAGTAGTCTTTGATTTTCATGGCAACATAGGAATAACACGTATTATTAATAGCTACCGAGTAATGAAACATACCATGATCTAGTAGCGATACTAAACATGCAGCCAGGTACTATGCTATTTTATATTGTAATTCAACAGTAATACTAATGAAACACTGGGAGTATATACTAACACTTACTATTGATCGTTCTATTATGTTTACTGCCGGGCTCGATATTGTTATTAATTGCTACTAGTGTTACTAGTTTTACAACAATCATAGTGCTAAGCAACTAATGCAGTAATAATTTTACTATATAACTATATATATATTATATTTACACTACTGTAATTAGTAAAATCTTGTTTTACAATATTATAGGCACTATTATAAATACACTATTGCGCGATTGCGCAACACTAATCATATAACTGGAATAGCGTAATTACAATTGCACCAACTATTAAAGGCTGTATTAGGAATAGCACTAGTACTCTATACTATACTACACTATATTACACAATAGCCAATTATCTGCATCATGAAATCCATAGTCGGCATGTAATCCCATAGCTGGGATAATAGCTATATTTTATAAAATGATTAAAACTATTCAAACCTCTATGACATCCTCCAACTGGTCCCCACGTCGCAGGCAGATGGCCATGGACGCTCTCGGAGGCGCCGATCGATGGAAGAGGCTGAGTTCCATGCCGCAGCGCTTCGGAACAAACATGCTGATTTACGCCACAACCGTGTGGATTTTCCCCAACAAAAATGTGTGAACCCACAAAAACGGTGATTTAAGCCACAAACATGTGGATTAACCAAAAAAATTGTAAGTTAACCAACACATATCATGATTTAACCAATAAAAAGGGTGATTTAACCAACAAGAATGTGTGGTTTAACTGACAAAATTTGTGGTGTAATGGGAATATGGGAGAGAATGGGAAAAATATGGGGTTGGGATATTCTTTGGTAATTTAACTTAGCTATGTAGCTATGGGGTTCACCATTTTTGAGGAACAAAAACACATTTAGAAATAGACATAGTTTTGTCAAGTTACAGGATGGACATAATTGTGAATAATTGTCAATACTGATGATGAATGGTGGTTAATAATGGTTAAACCTAGGCAATCCATCACAACCCTAATTTGACATAATTGTTCATAATGGTCAATTCCTGAACTTGATATAATGTCATAATACTCATTGATAATGGGTTGCAATTCCAACGGTTAATAGGGATGGTCAAACCTAAATTTAAGACCTTAATAAGTTCAGCCGCAAAATCATCCTATTGGGAGACAATTTTTCGGACTCTAAGTGATTTTTGTTAGGGATTACTACTACCGTTGTAGGGAACATTGATACACTATGTGACTATGTTTATTAGTTATTGTAGGTATAACATGATTTTGCCAGTCAGTTGATCTGCCATGGGGACGTCAGAGAACATATCGGTCGAGTGTTTTTCTTGCGGAAAGCTTAGTTGGGTAGTTCAATAGCTGTAGTTGCCATGCATATTTTGAAATTCTGAATATGGGTTTATATACATAGGCATAGAATGGTATAGAGTTCCCAGCTAAAAAAAATAGGTTTTCTAAGATTCGCCAGGGAATTTCCTAGCTGCGCCAATCCTTGCCACGCCATTCCAAGCTTCGGCCAAGGCAAAGCATTGATTTGCTGATGGCACGGCTGAAGGTCGGGAATCCCAGCTGCCATCACAGGGGATTGAATTTAACCATTACTTAACCATGGTGGGTATAGTAGAACATGTTACATGTATACAATCCAGTGGATGAAATGGGCAAGACTTCACTCAACATCACTCAACCATTAATATCATTAATGTTATACATACTCCCTGGATTTGCTGAAGGTCAGGTTTTCTCGCCGAGAGTGCGCCTACCACCGGCCTACCACCATTTCGGACAAGCTTTGAGCTGCAAGCAAGTAGGGCTCCCCCAAAGCTCATGGACTAATACCTGATGAATTCCCCGAATTTGATCCTTGGCAGCTTTGTTCAGCTCCCCTTGAGCCACCGGCCACCAGCCATGGCGCGTTGGATCTGCTTGGCCCTGGCGCGGCTCACGCTGGCGGAGGTGATCTCCTTGGATGCCACGACAGAGCTGCGGGTCTGCGCCGCCAACGTGTTGCGCATCACCAAGTGTCTCGGGATGTCTCGGGGGTTTGGTCGCGGTTGTGGCAGAGATGACCATCGACCATCAACGTCGGGGGGGAAATGACACTCTTTTGGGAGAAAAGTGGGAATCAGGTGGTGCATGGAGGGGGGATGCTAACTTCAAGGATCATTTCTGTGGAGCCTTAGAACGAAAGAGCTGGCGATTTTCGATGCCCAACCTACACCGGAGACCTGGGGCAACAGGAGCAAGAGAAACATGGATTTTGGTGAGGCCATGTACAACCTATTGTGGTACCGGAACCCCTGAAAAGAAGGAACCGCACTGCAGATTATTCATGATTATTCCACTCTTGGATGTGACCCCTTTGAGTTTCCATTGTCTGAGGTGGCCCAGCGCGGCGGCGAAGGCAAAGGGACGCATCAGTTTGGTGGCAAAAACCGAGTGGCCAGAGACAAGATTTGAGGTTCACGAATCTCCGGAGGACCTGCTGAAAATATTGGAGACATCCCGAAACTGGGAAGTGGTGCTTAATAGATCTTGACTAGATATAATCGACAACATCATACAAGTAATCACCGAAGGCACTGAAATTGAACAGTTGTTGGGAAATGTTGGGTTGTTTTTGGCTTTCAATTCTGTCCCCGCATGGCTTTGTGGACTCCGTTGATGGCAGGAAATCAAAGTTACGACTTCGGATGTGTCCTTCACTTTCACCAGGGCCACAGGGGCCAACAGCTTTGGGACACCATCGCAGCTCGACTCATTGGAACCAGAGAGCTGGATTGGAGAGCTGTTAGTGTCAAACGCAAATCAACAAGCGATTGGTTGGGGTTCTCCCCACCCTGTAGGGCAATGAGTCACTAGTCAACCAGAGATTACCAACCCGAGGGCCTTGCATTGAGCCTCTGGCATTCAGCCCCTTCGACGAGTTGCGCTTGAGGCAGCAAGTGATCTTGGAGGATGCAGGGCACAGCTTCATTGCCACTGAAGACATGGGAAAAGCATCCCACCAAGTTCTCCAGTCCTGGCGGGCAACAAACCCTTCTGAGGCAAGGAAGGGGAAGGTCTACGCAACCGAATTTTTTCAGACATGCCGAGGAACGGGAAAAATCAGGTGAGTTCCATGTGCCACTGCCAGCGGGACAGGCGCTCTATGGCGGCGGCTCCTACCAGAACGGGTTGGTCAACTACAAAGGGGTCCCTTTTCTGCAGCATGTTGCTGTTTCGATGGATGAACTAACACACGTGCCGCGTGGCAAGTGGAAAATCATGGAGAAACATCGTTTTTTTTCCTGTCAACATTTGGATAATGTTTTTCTTTTTTTGGGGGGAGGGGCGGCATATCGAGCTGCCAGCTATCTCTGAATGGCCAAGTGTCTCCTCATCTTCCAGAAATACTTGGATGATCCTTGTTAGGGGCCATGGTGTGCATATTAATCATGATTTCTCATCCTTTCCCTCATTTTTACATATTTTGTACTTCCAGATGGACCAGTCCCCAGCAGTTCCCATCTGAGGCTCCACTGTCCATGATCCAATTCAACCTGGAGGCCGTGGTTCCTGTCTTCGTTTCCTCCAGTGGCTACGGCTTGCTGTGGGACAACTATGCTTGGAGCTACCTGAACCCGCCCAAGGACGCCTTAGTCTGGACCTTAACGCGGCCTTCCCCGAGTTGAGGGAGAAGACTTTGGTTGGTTGAAGAGTGTTAATATTGGTAAGGGGACGGTAAAGCATCCATAGCTTGATGGTTTATACCAACCATTTATGGTAAATTTGGGGTTGGTTTGCTTTGGCTTTACTAACATTATGCTATTTTGTCATCTAACAGTCCGCAAAATGGTGATTTCTTTCTGGAGGTTCAGTCAATAAACATGATGATGGTACAATGAAGGTATCATGGGACATCTAACAGTTTGCCATGTAATAATGGGTAATGTTCCATGGCTATATGTTAAATTATAAGAGGGTAAAAAGGAAAACTGCGTTGGGATGTTGGGTTGGAGATGCAGATTTTGTTCCAGCTGCAAGCGGCACATGAATCTGAGGGATACAAGTTCAGCGAAAGAAATTTGGTCACGCAACTCCTTCCCTACGATCATTACGGCACCTATCCACTGCCACAGCGCAAGCACAAGAAGTGTCGGTTCCTTTTTTATTGCGACATACCCTCTGGTAAACTAACATAGCTATTGAAAATGGCCATTTATAGTAAGTTTTCCCATCAAAAATGGTGATTTTCCATAGTTACGTCAAATTACCAGAGGGTATTGCGACTTGCCACAGGTCAAGCCCATTGCTGAGAAAGGACAAAGTGGGGAAGTTGAATTTCAAGCCGCTACAGATGGTGACTATTTCTTCCATGTTGGCAGGCCGGGATCGGTCACCCATATTTCTGGGATGATCCTGGTATGATCCTGGACTTTTTTCGAAGAATTTGTTGCATGGGGGCTGGAAACCGCCAAACATGCATGAATTATTGGTTGACTTATACCAGATTAGTTGCGGGAGGTTGTTCAAAGTTCTTCTCAAAAATCAAGGGAAACACGGGAAACAGGAGAGCCAAAGTCAGGTATATGTCCTATGCAACTTATTCCTGGTGGAGTAAATGGTTCATCCATGACGTGCTGAGCTATTGTTTTTCGACTTCTTGTTTGAAAAAATGTGGTCACGTAGGTTAATGATGAGTACCCTGTTTTCGCAGCAAGCTGAGAAAACAAGTTCAATTGACTTGTGATAGGGTTTCAATTTACGAACTAAGCAGCCCTTTAATTAAGAAACCCTATTTTTGGGAAAGGTCTAGGGTTGATTTGCTAAGAATTAACTTGTGTTTGACTGGGCCCCACCCAGCACCTGCCAAGCAGGCTGATGGATGATGCCAAAGTTCCGTCCTTTGGAGCTGGACATGAAACCATCATCACTGCCAAGGGTGTGGCGCGGCAGCAAAAATGGCTGATTTCTAGCGGTCAATGGGCAGTTCTTTCTTGCCACTGTTTTTCAGTGGTCTAAAATACTTCAGCTCCCAGTGTTATTATAGTAATACCCGATAGAAAAGTGCATCTTCAATATTTTGGTGGGGGGTTACTTTTCACTGTCACTTTTCTATCTTTTTGGGGATGACGGGATGACTGTAAACACGTTGTTGGACTATAGCTATAACACAGCTGAACTTTGAGAGCAACTGTGTTCACTTCTGGGGGTTCTTGCCAGAAGTCGTCTCTTCTAGGCTTCCCGCAACCTGAATGCAGTATTTTGAAGCTATTGTTGTTTTACCAATATTTTGTAAATGTTGCGTTCAGGTTTGTGTTTGTATGAAACCACTTAGTCTTGTTGCTCAAAGCTTCAATGTAGAAATCAGTGGGCGCAGATTAGGGGCGACTCCACCCAATGACTTGAATTAGCATCCTACTTGGTGGTCAGCTATCAGCTGGTGAAAACGACTCACAACAATGACACGAGGAGCCCATATAATATGCCCAAAAAACAAACCTTCAGACATGAGCGCGAACCGTTTCATATACCCTTTGGAAAAAAATAAGATAGCCATGGCGTGGCCATGGCTTCCATAGCAATATGTTACAGTAGATTGCCAGAGGGCAAACCCGCAGACACCCATCTATCATCTCAAGTTGGCTAATTAGATCCCACTAATCCCATTATCTCCCAATTGCAATCCATTTCAATGCCAAACCCCATCAAATCCTGCTCAACAATCACCAGTAAATCTCTATTGAATCCATCAAATCCTTCGCAGCGAGGTGGGCAGCACAGAGACCATCATCCAATGGACCAGGGATCAGCAGAATCATCCTTCGTCCATGACTGGCCGCCTCCCCAATGTCAAGGTGTCGTGGGGGGATTGAAGTAGCTTCGGCAAAATGGTGGGTGAAATTTCGTTGAAATCAGATGATTTAAAATTTAAACCAACAAAATTGGATGATATGGAGGTTTATTGGGGTATGAACATGAATGACCCTCCAGTAATTCAACAGTCAACTGTTTGCTATGGAAAATCACCATGTTTAATAATTAAATCATTGAGCTAAATAGGACATGTTCCATAGCTATATGTGAAACTACCGGATGATGTGAACCTCAGATCATAATCCTCGTTGAGTAAAAGTTTGGAATAGGCTCACACCATCAACAGAGAACCAAACCACTGAGATTGTTTGATACTTTGGCTGACTTTGACGTTTAGTTAGACCCTCAAGGCTCTCAAAGCTTTCGTATGTATGACAGATGTGACGCTTGCATCTGGGTGAAGATGGAAGAACCATCTGCCACAAATCAGATTGCCGACACCTCAGGGAAAAAAACAAACAGCGGAATATTCATAATTTTGGGATGAACACATGCATCAAGAATGAACATGTTTCATTGACAGGTTCGATCCCAGAGGTTTTTCCCCTTCTACCACCACCAACATCCATTTGGCATTTCACTGCCAGGCCGGGGCTAAGTACATCATCAACTTCAGCTTCGACATTCCTGGCGCGGGGATCTATGTCCAGGGACCTGAACATGGGTTGACCACTTTGCAGTCTCAGTTTCCTGGGCTTTTCTGGGGAATGTTCAATGGGAGATGTGTTGAACATTGAAGATTATCGTTTCATCTGCGGACACATTACATCTTATGATTTATTATGTGGCATATTACAATATATAATTATATATATAGAGGGATATTCTGGAATCTATGTTTTTTTGAATTTGTTTCGCCCACCATATAGGAAAACTGTAGTTAATTGTCTTTGTTGGCATACTTAGTTAATCCACCAAAAACCCACAAAAAATGAGAACAAACAAATCATTGATAGGGAAATCGACTAATTATAACTATTACCTCTGATTTCCACCCAGAAACTAGGTGGTGCGGCCCTCCTACCGCAAATCCAAGGTACGCTGAGGCCATTGACTATTATTATGTCTATGGTCCCAGTGTGGATGCTATCATTGGAGGCTACCGGGAGCTTCTTGACGCATGGTTTTGGCAGGGGGAAGAGGTGGCTGTTCACCTCCAAAACAGATGGAGGTGGAGGAAAAACTATTGCCTCCCGGAGAATGATAGGCTTAATCCGATATGAACGGATTAGGTTCACAGGCCTGGTTTCGGCTTAGGATCACTGGGGCTGCTCCGCTCTATGGAAAGCCTCCTGGCAGACGGCCATGGGAGGGTCATGGTTTCCACTGGCCACAATCTGCCTTGAGGGAGAGGGATTCTGTACGGACTTCCGGTGATGAACTTTTTAAGCTGCCACCTGCAACATACGTGTCAAGTTGAATGGCTGCTTCATTTTTCTTCAGGGGCCGATGGCTTGGTGGTGTGGTTTTCAAACTTTGTTTGCGTTGATTGTAGTTTGAATATGATTTGTTCACTGTATATGTTTTTGACTTGAATAGCTTTGAGTACCTCATGGTTTCTGTACACTACCTAGTTTGTAGCATTGGCATGGACTGCCTATCCACCAAGTGGTATGATAAGTCTTCTTGGCTCCCCACCCAGCTACTTGTCCCCTGGTTTGAAGGTGAGAAGGGGCCAGTTCCTGGAGTAAATCTGAGGTTCGCCTATGGATTCTGGCAAAGCAGGGAGCACTATGGAAGCAAGGCCCAGAGACAGTAATATCCAGAAGTTCAAGTTGGTGGCTTCAAACGTTTTGTTGTTCCATTTCTTCTTGGGATGATGACGCAACTATGTTCTTTGATGGGTTGAAGCCACCAACTCCTCCATGGTTTCAGTAGTTGAAGTACCAACAAAATGTTTCCCAGCTATCATCTTGGTGGTCTCGGGAGCACGAGGCTTCTACTTGAAGAGTGCATCCGCGCTGGGAAGTGCTTCACATAGCCGTAGTCAGTGTTGTAATTATACTGTTTGCGGTATATGGCCTCAGATTAAGCAATGTTGTATGCCAGTATATTGCGTTTATTGCGTACAACCTTTCTTATATAATATATAATTGTAATATCCTAAGGCTCCATTTAGACGGTGAACACCAGTGTACTACAGGCTCTTGTTTCATAGACACACTCTGGCCATGTTTGTTAGATATATGTGTTGTCCTTGTTGCGGGGCAGCAAACGTATATAACATTTTGTGCCACTATAAACAAGTTCTGAGCCATCATCATTTACCATCATCGATCTGGCTCCATGCTTCAGATGATTTCAGATGCTGCAGTAAAATGCGTGGTAAAAATCATTATCAGGATATATCATGTCATCATCGTGACATATAGAATGCATCCCGCAAAAAAATATTGATAACATATAAATATAAATATCTTATACCCCCCATGTGTTTAGGCAACATGTACAGTAACCATGTTTGCATAAACACGCGAAGATGGTTTGAAGGGAAATGGTTTAGGAACCCCTTGTTTCTGGAGCGTTGTTAAAAATTGAGGGCCCATGGGGAAATGGGGCCCCTCTTCTCCACATTTCTAATTGTTGTGGCGTTAAGCACCAATGGTTTCAACTGTTTCAACCGGTGATTTTCCCTGAAACGAATCGAGCATCACGTGTACTGAGGTTAAATCGATCTACTAATATGAATTACAATTTCTCGCACCTGCCATGTGAGGGTCTCTAGATTCAATGCCAGCTTGCCCGCTGCTTCTCCTTCTCCTCCTCATCGCCAAGTTGCCAAGTTCATAGCCAACGTCATCTCCATTTCCCTCAGCATGTCATCGCCAGCTTCCTTGCCAGCCACATCTACGCCATGACTCTATCGCGAGCTCGTTAGCCTTTTGGGCCTCGGCGGACCCGAACAGATGCCAGATAGAATGTCAGAATATACCCTCTGGTAATTTAACATAGCTATTGAAAATGGCCATTTATAGTGAGTTTTCCCATTCAAAATTGTGATTTTCCATAGTTATGTTAGTTTACCAGAGGGTATGCCAGATAGAATGCAACAAAATGCCAGATCAAGTGCCGATAGAATGTCAGTTAGAGGGGGGGGGTCACTCCAATAAACACACACACACCATTGATTTATTGGATTGGTGGGAAAATCTACAGGATATCTACAGAAAACCTCAATATTGATGTGAAAAACCCATTGTTTCCTGTAGATTGTGATCCAACCCCGCACGGGAGCTACCATGCTTGATACCTTCATGGCCCCTCGAGAGGCTGAGCTGTTGAAGGCTGCGCAGGAGTTCCGGAGCCGAGGTGTTCCCCTGGATGCCATCGTGCAGGATGGGCGGATGAACAACGGGTTTCAATAGCGCCAAACCTTGGGATTTTTTAGCAAAAACGCGGATGTGCAAGATCAGAGAATCCTAGAAATGTGGGTTCCTGGCTAAATATAGTTTTAATATATATATATAACTTATATATGTCAGATAAATTATCAATGGAGGATTTGGGTGTTAATCAGCAAAGCAGCGATTTATAGGGACAGGGACTTTCCAACAAAAGGCAGAGGTTGAACCAACAATTGGGTGATTTTCGCATGTTCCCCATTCATTTTAGCCACCGAAATTGCGACATCTACATGAAGACTGATTTTTTGTGATATTATGGTAAGTATTGACACGTTTGCCATTGGCACCTGTACCATCTCATTCATACCAAACGACATACCGAAACTGGGAAATGTTGGGATTTGTTATCTTCTTGAAATCCAAAATTTGAGAATTTGACGGGCATTGTGATTCGGGTTCGGGCCTGTAACAGTGTAACAGCAACATGTAAACTTTCACAAAACTGGGGTTCAATGACCCAACCGCTCAATCCAGCTTAACCAGCTCAAAGCCACGATTTTGGCATTTTCTATGTTGCCCTACTTGGGTTCCTCCCCAATAGATGGCTATTTGGGGAAAACCCCGTGGCCATCCGTGGCCCGTGTTAGGACTGGCTCTATTGGGGCAAACTGGGATGGGGTCCTGAATGGGATCCAGAGACCTACCCAGATCCTGCCGACATGGTGAAGCAGCTGGACCAGATGCACTTGACGCTGGGACCGGCTGGGATTTGGGTGCACAACTTTTCATCGCAGTTTGTAAAAGGCATCCCCTGAAATCACCCAAGCTGGTACTGTAGAGTTTTTCATAGGTTTTTCCATTTGATTATGGGACGGTGCATGAAACACCTCCAGTTGCCATCTAGGTTAGTCTAAGAAAATTCGGTAAGCAACAAAGTCCAGTGGCCTATCATGTTTATCATCATATCCCCCATTCCAATTGCCATAAGTGGCAATATGTTCGATCCTGATTATTTCCCCAAAATATACCATCATGTTCCCAAACTATCCCAACATTATATATATATATACATATATATATAATATCTTCCTATATGTTCCATCATATTTCCTAAAATATCCCATATCATCCCATATCATATTCCCATCATAGTCCCACGATGTCCCATGGCATGACTCGATGAATCCCGGCCGTATTTTTTCGCCCAGGAAGTTGATGGTCTCGGTCTGGGGCAAGATGGACAACCAGACGCAGCTCTTTCAGGCGCTCAAATCTGCCGCTCGTCTACGTTGAGGTGCTGGGCTCCTTCAAATGGCAGGATTGAAGGGAAGACGAAACCATAGGGAAAAGTGATATTTGAGATATATTTGAAATGCATCCAACGAACCTTAGCCAGAGAAAAGATTGGAATCGTTGGCACAGTTGAGTGCCCTTTTTGTGGGGTGTTTTTGGTAATAGCTGGATCTTCCACGTATGCGTTTTTCTGGCCCTTTTACTGGAAGAAAATTCTGCTCGAAATTCTCAGAATCGCCCTTTGTCTTCAACATTGCCTTTTGAGAAATCATTACTAGGCAAATTACTTCACTAGACATGTCTTGATCTACCCAATTTTCCTCCATTTTACAAAAATCCATATATTTCTTGGTTTGCCCAACACCACAGTTCAACCAAACTATCCCAACAAGTTTCTTTGTGTACAAACTACCCCAATGCATTTCTTGGTTGACCCAAACTATCCCACATGATCCCAGCAGAGTGGTTGTTTTACCTGAACTATTTCATGGTCTTATCCCGAGCTGTCACACACCGGTTTGTTGCAATTGCAAAGGTTTGTTCTGGCATGAACATGTTTGAATTTGACCTTGGATGGGTGCCCCAGTGGGAAATCATGCATCAAGGGTAAAGTTGCCCCCATTGGTCGGGTAAGGTCGCCCGTTCCGTTTTTATCTTTTGATATAGTTATGTACACATTTCCAGGAGAAGAAAAGACTTTGCAAATACCAGCAATACCCAATTCAAAGGCATTCCAAGCAGTTTTCCAATTCTTGCGGCAGAGATCCAAATGACCATGCCTGGGCCTAATGCCCTGCATTGGTAATAGCCCAAAATCATAGATGTAGGAAACTAAGTATACCTTCCATGTAAGAAAGTGTGGGCTGTGCTACGGCCCTCTTTGCAGTTTGGCGAGGTCTTTCAAACAGTTAAACCCAGGTTCATCCATAGATTTGAGGGAATTTGGTGAAAAGATTGCCTTGTCTTATCTTGTCTTTGGACTGGCATATTTAGCCATGAAAACATTGAGGGTCTTCTACCACCATCGAAAAAGTGGCCCTGATTACTTGAAATCACAAAAGTCGCCCACGGTCGGGTAAAGTCGCCTTTTGACAACATATTGGTATAGTTTGTTTTTCCGGATCCAAGCTTCGAGGCGGGAATGATTCTGGGAAACACCAACCAGAGCCACAACAACTGGTATGATGCATGGAGCGTGGACGCGCAGCTCCTTGTCTTGGTGAGAGCCAGCTGGGGTTTCCAAAACCTTCCAAACCATATTGAACACTGGTTGGTGGTCTGGAACATTTTTGATTTTCCCCAATAGTTGGGATGATGATCCAATCTGACTATATAATATGTTTCAGGGGGGTTGAAGCCACCAACCAGATATTGAACAGAAGGTCAATGATGTCAAATGTATCCCAGATTGTTCTTGTTTGTATGCCCAGTGGTTGCCGATTTTCGTCAAGTGCCACTCCTGGAAACGCACAGTGCGTAGTTTACTACGTGAATCTATGTGCTACATGTTGAGGGTGCATTACCCTTGTCAGGGGCTTGTCAAACTATATTTGCGCGGTAGTTTCTGATCGTTGTCTTTTTCCCCCATCGAAGCTGGGTTCATTGTCCCATTGACTAAACGGTTGAACAGTTGAAACCGATCCCTGGCCCCCTACCAAGAATCACCCCCAGTTGAAACCCTGGCTTAGCAATGAAGACCTGTTCATTTGGCGTTCCATTTCCAGTTTTGCTGAATCATCGGGGGATGGCATTGCCGACCACTCATTGGGGGTTTCCCAGCCGGCCAGGAAAATTTATTACTCGATTTGTGCCTTGGAGCTTGCTTTGATCTGGTTTGGAGGAGATGGGGAAACATTATGAAACATAGGGATCATAGGAGAAAAATGGAGAAAGCACACATATTAGGAAACGACCCAGAAGGATAACGGATTATTATTAAACAGTAAACATGAGATTGAACCAGTTTGTTGTGGTCAATTTAAAGGACAAACGTGGGCATGTAACCAACCACATTGGGGTACCAACTTGCCCTTTGTTTCAGCTGCAATATGGTTCATTAGTTGCTCCTCCTACTTGGGAAGGCGAAAGGTTAAGTTAAGTAATTCAACTTTTCTCCGGGGTTAGTTGAGGCCCCGCCAGTATATAACGAACATGTTCCTAACTGTTTCTGACATGTGTGACCTGTGACAACTTGTAACATCATGCAGCATCATGCAACACAAATCAACGTCTACAGTATATGTATGGGGGAGGCCATATGGTCCAAGGGCAGCCGGGGGAGCTAACCCACAAATCACCAGTGACCATGTGCGGATAATACAATTAGTGATGGTGATGTTCACCCAAAGCCAAGGTGTTCCAACATGCCTGGCTTTGACTCACCCCAATTCTGAATTTAACATGATTTAATTGCATTTGCGCAGTTCTTCATTGTTATTTATAATGTCAACATGTCATAAACATGTGCCACCCCTTAAAAGTTAAACAATTAGATTTATGTAATTTCATTCAGACCTGTTGCCAAAGTAGCCAGCATCGCTATGAGAGCTTGGTAGCTTTTTTTCGGCCTAGGCAACCAGAGCCACTTCTCCATTGGTGTGGAAAGTTTGTGGCTGGACGCCACGGAACCGGAGGGCTTGGTGAACCTGAACCAGGCCCATCCGCTGATGCGATTGCTACCGAATCTCTTGGTATCCGCCTGTTGACAGGATGAATTTAAGGCATCTTCCGTGAAGCTTATTAAGCCATTCAGCTCCCATTGAATCACCTGATTGAAGGTCCATTTCGCCTAGGAGACCCATTTGGGTTCAGGCAATTTGTTGATGAACAGCTACTCCCTGGAGACCACTTCTGGCATCTCGGCTCGGAGGGGTCATGTTGTGCGGCTTGCAATTGTGTATGCTGGTGATTTGAAAACCAACGAAAACATACATTTACACATATGTTTCATATTTACTCGTGCATTAATAATTGCGCATATTCATACATGGATCAGGTTTAAATTTTAGATCATTTTCTCCTAGATTAGATAAGAAAGACTTATTGTCTATCAATAAATGCTGTAGCACAATAAAGGGATAGATTAGATAGACAGACAGACACACAGGTAGACAGGTAGGTAGGTAGGTAGGCAGGCAGGCAGGTAGGTAGGTAGGTATATATATATATATATATATGTGTGTGTGTAGATATTATTTATAAATATTTATAGGTAGATAGACAGATAGCAAGACGGACAGACAGATAGATTTCACCCAGGCATCGCTGCTGGCTTGCGGCGCGACTATCCAGAGGCCCAGGGCGCCCGGGTCTTCAGCCTCACCAGGTGCGATGGACATGGTGAGATGCGGAAATTCTACCTGGAAACCGGTGGAATTCTATGGAAAAAATGGCCATGAAACAAAGGTGTTACCGGTGTTACCGGTGTTACCGTGTTTTGTGTGAAAATACTCTAGGGATGATTGGGGTCGTTTTTTTTAAATGAGAGATTTGTGGCTGGTTTACCTGCTGGAAATTCACAATGAAATGAATCCACCACAATCCACTCATTCAATATCCATCTAATATCTAACATGTTGGCTTACCCTGGTGGTGCAGGAGCTCCTTCGCAGGCCAGCAGCGAACAGGCGCAGCCCTCTGGATGCCTGGATCAAAGGGATCAAAGCGATCAAAGGGATCAAAGGGATTAAAGGGATCAAAGGGATTAAAGGGATCAAAGGGATTAAAGGGATCAAAGGGCCCATGGAGTTGTACCGAAACTGGATCCATGATAGGGAAATGTTTACACTACCATTATATAATTTATATAATTAATCTTTAATATTTTTTAGGGTGTTCCTAAAATGAAACGAAAGTAACGATTCAAATCCTAGGTTTCTGTGTGAACATGGGTCCAGTGGTCCAGTGAATGCTCAGAGTTGAGTCAGCTGCTCTGGTGACATGGCACATGGGGAGTTCCATTTTGTAAAGCATCGAAGAAGGGCGTTTTGCCACTTGCCATGTTGGACTGCTAGAGGCCACATGATCACACAGATAATTTAAAGAAGCAGAAATGTTGGAGGGAGGCACTACAGCTCAGCAAGAAAACTTCTAGGGATCCAACTTTGCAACCAACAAGTTTTTCTCATTACAGTATATAACGGACTGTATACACTTCCGTAGACAAACATGGCAATGGAAAATCTCCTATAAATGGGAAAATCATCGAACTAAATGGGAGATGTTCTTTTGCCGTGCTTGATTACTAGATGATATATCCCATGACTATCCCATGGTTATCCCATTACATCATGTTTTTTGCAGGGTAACTCCAGGTATCGTCCCTGCGCAGTAAGGACCGGTGACACCGCGGGAACATGGGATATGCTGCGGCGTCAAGTGGCCAGCTCCATCAACTACCCGTCGCCTGCACTTGATGGATTTACATGGTTTTTACCAACTGAACATGTGGATTTTAGAGGATTTTTTAAATGTCTCTTGGGATATCTTTTAATATGATGTCTCTTGGATATTTTTCTCAAGAATTGGGGTGGTCATCGCAATGCCATTCCAGGTGTGTTCAGGTGTCATTAATGAGGGAATGAGGTGCACGGTTTTAACGGGTCGATTTAGGGAAACTTGGCCGGAAATCATGATCCCTTTAATATCCCTTCCTCCTAAGTTTAAAAAGGATGCAACCCATATATGAACACATTCAACACTATATAAACCACTACCAGGTGGGATTTTAGGGGAATGGGATACCATCAAATATTAGGGTCTACTGCCATGTTTGCACCAATTTAACCCTGCAATTGGCACAGTTCTACTTTTTTTTGGGGGGGGTCCCAATGGCTTCAAGTTTTTGGACTACCTCCACCAAGGCTTTCGGGCATTCCATATTGGTCTCAAGATATTGGAGGCCTGGCCCCTTCCAAAGTCTGGGGCGACAGTTGGATTGCAGTTGGATTGCAGTTTTGGAACGATGGCATGTTGCCATGGATATCCATGGATGTCAATACTTCTGTTGCCGGTGGATTGCTATGGTTCTTCCCGTTGACAGTCCCTGAGGTTTTTTCCGGCCAAGGGACCAGTATGACTCTGAGGAGTACCACCAACTTCTCATCCGCTGGTTCCAGTTTGGTGTCTTCACGCCCATTTTTCGAGTCCATGGTGCTGGCACTCACACAGAAATCTGGAATTTTGGCATGGAGACCATGAACGCAATTAACACCTCGGCCATCACTCTTCGTTACAGGCAGGGATCCAGATTTCACGATGACATAATCTGAACTGCAAATCGAAGTAAGAGCAGATCGCAGGGGATTACGTGGTTCTAGTTCCTAAGCCGTACTGGCAGGTTGGGATTTTCATCCGTATCTATTGTATGGTGAACATATTGATACATTTTTTGTATCTTCAGAGACCCGATGCCCAAGGTGCTAGCATTTTTTGTAGCTCACTGCGCAGGCTGTTGCCCTACATCTACTCGGGATTCTGGGAGGTTCCTGAGCTAAATTTTGCCGAAGAAGAGACGAACCTCCCGCTGTTTTGATTTTGCTTTGAGTTGTGAAATGGCTTGAACTGACCAAACTCAGTGACTCATTTGTGACTCTTTATTGTTTATAAATATATTCAAATCTAGCATTATATATATATTATACATCATAGATCTATAAAGATATAATATATATATATACATCTACATCTACATGACATCATATTACACCTGCATTAATCAAGAGAAACCATTCTCACTTGCGACTTCCAGGCTTGATTGCTGGAAAAGAGGCTGCCAGCTGCAAACTACTTGTATAGTCAATGTAGCGAAACACCGTAGCAATGGAACATAAATTTTCAATACCCACCGTTCATCACAGACCGCAATGATTTTCCAATTAAAATCGCCATTTCAATGGGATTTCCCATTTTCAATAGGTGAATAGTCTGCAAACATCGGGGGATTCTCAATTTGCCTAGGTGGAGACTAGAGGCTACACCATGCAGCGCGGCTTGATCTTCGACTTCCCAGAAGATCCACAGCTGTGGAACGTGGCTGACGAGTTCATGTTTGGCACGGCCCTGCTGGTGACGCCCTTCGTGTCCAATGCATCCAGCACCTCCAGGGAAGTCTATTTCCCCAAGGGCAGCTTGGCGCTGGCCGGATAGATCTGCTAGGCTTCCTCAAAAGGGACGCAGAGTTGTTAAGACTATTTGATGAAATTTTGCGCGGAAGCATGGTGTTGGTTCCATATCAACTCGGCATTGACTGCAGATGTCCGTAAACTTTGAAACCTTTCAAGATCTTTCAAAAATGGAGTGGGATATACATGCTGGATATACCACATTTACGATCATTTACGACCATTTAATTACTGATATGTGCATCATTTGCATCCACATAGTAACTGTAACATACTGTAGCTGCTTAATACCTATATACATGACCAAATGTTTTTTAATGGCCAAATACATGCCATTTAAATACTAACACTAAACATGCCGAATTGAATTCGTTTCTACCTATACTATAAATTCCTCTAAGTCCAAAAAACGTGCAACTTTCATCATTTTTTTTCCATATCATCCCCAGCATCCAGCTCTGTTCCGAGGTTCCTGGATCAACTTCCACACGGGCACCTCCCACGCGGGCGCTTCCCATGTCTCGGTGCAGTTCCAGCTGACGGAGGCGCCATGCTTCGTGCGCGCCGGGGCCATCCTCGTCACTGGGCTCTAAGTTGGGCGGCTCCAACGGCATATCATGTGTATAAACCCCTGTTGGCTGATGATTATAGGGGATTATACTAGCCAATATAGATTATATCTGGTTGGTGGTTTGGAACCATGGATTTTTTTGACTTTCCATATACTGGGAATGATCATCCCAGCTGACTTTCATATTTTTCAGAGGGGTTGAAACCACCAACCAGGTATATAATGTGTATTATAATATGGTATATATGGAATTACTATGGTATGAATATGGTATGAATATGGTATAAATATGGAATATTTGCCCACCATATCCAAGAATGAGAGAGATATACAATTGTGATATACATCGGCCCTGGGATGATGACACACCAGATACATCCAGAGATGGAGATGACATCTTCAGAGAGGGAGACCCTGCCAACCATTCAGAGTAGAGCATCCCCAATGCTTCCCAGGAACAGGTATCAGAAAAGGGTTGGTTTCCGAATCATCCCGGATTGAAGCTCTATGGCACTGGGTTTGCCAGATTCTGTCGAGAACTTGTGCCGTGATTCTGATGTGGGATATTGTGGGGTTAACTATGATAAATTTAAAAAGTTGTCCTGATCTCACGGCGACGTCACTTCTATTAAAAAAAACTGATTTTGTATCCATCACAACTTGTGATGATTGACCCCAAGTGGCCAACATAAATTTGAAGTTCCTGCGCTGAAAGTCAACGTCGCCCAAGCCAACATAGCATGCATACTCTTGATTCTTGATCCACCAAATGACCACCAACTACTTGGAAGATCATCCCACTTAGTAATTGGTTAATATGTAAGCTTGGTTAGTGAGTTAGTCAGTCTCCTATTATATTCGTGGCTTATCCTATTTAGATCATAACCCAACGGATCGTTGCACCAAGTCACACCTGAGGTCCTTGGACCGGAGCTGCAATATGCCAATGAGAAGTCTCCGAAAGATCTGGAAGTTCGCGTCTACAAAGGTGGTGATGCAACTTGGGTGCCTGGGCAGTAGAAAGACCAATGGTGACCACAATAAGGTGGTGCAGCTTGGTTTTGGATGCTGATGGTGAACGAGGTAGAAATTGTTGGGGTTTTCTTGGGGCTGGAAACAGAAATTCACAATGAGGATGGTGGATGGTGGATCCGGTCATTGGGAGCCAATGGAGTGCGGCAATACTCTTTGGTGAAGGAACATGGCTGGTTCGGCAATCCCGTTCTTCAAGTGAAAGAGCCCCTCTCAATAGATAATAGATATGCACCTGCAGGCACTGTTTGCAATGTCATGGTTTTTGATTGGAGGCTGTGCCAGAATAGTTTATGCCACAACACTCCTACCAAAAAGCGGGCATCACAGAGATCACATGGATTTTGGAGGGAAGTGTGCCGCTCTTCCATGATCTTGGCTTGGCGATTTGCATAGGGTGTGCGTGTGTATCCTTTTGGCCGGATGTTGCAGGATGGATGTGGGTTACAGCAAAAAATCATCCCCGAAGTGGGCCCCCAAGAGGTTGAACATTGGAAGTTTGCACGGAGTTTGATGTTTTCACATATGGCTGGAGTCATCCTCTTGGAAGTTACCTGTGACCTCACAGCCGGGCCATTTGCTGCCAGGTGTTCTTTGAAGACGATGGTCATTCTTCAAAGTATCAACGAGGTGTTGCTGCGATGGGGCGGTGGTTCTCCGTTTTGGCCGTGGCCTTTTTTGGGGCGAAGATTGGGAAGCGAATGTTCCGGCACTTTAAATCGTATGAGCACTACCGGCCCAAAATATCAAAGTCTTATTTTAATGAGGGCAGAAATTTTGAATGATTCTGATTCTGATGCAGATCATCCCCAGATCCAAATGTCAATTGACCATCAAACAAGTCAGAGCTGGCCCTGCCAGGCAGCTTCTCAAAGATCCAGTTCAGCTGGCGGGATGCGGACCGTGTGCTGACGGTCTCCGATCGCCTGGGGTCCTTCCCTGGGATGGATCTGGAGAAAAATCTTTGCATCGTCTTCGTCTCTGAAGGCCACGGCGTGGGCGTTTCGAGGGCGAAATGTGACAAGGAGGTCGTTTACAGCGGCCACGCCTTGCAAATCGCGGAGGACCTGGCTCTCTTCGCATGAAAAGACTGAGGCGACTCAAGGGTCCGGGTGAAATTGGGGGTTGGGATGCGCTGCCAAGAAGATACAGAGATGTTTCAAGTTTCAACTGCTCAAATTGGTTCTAGATCATGCGAGCGCAGAACAATAAAATACTGTAAACACATATAGAAACTAAGACGTGAGACCTGCTGTGATCTCCTTTGGCAAGCTCAACCTGGCCTGCGTTTGCGGTGCCACCCCAAACTATATCAGTTTTGATTTTAATTCCGGCAGCTTGGCGCCCCATTTGTGATCGGAGCAAGATGGCGAAGCTGGAGGTCTTAGAGAATTCTATCGAGAAAACGGTGGCCTGGGCAGTATGTGTGGGTCCTTTCATGTCCTTTCATCGCAGGAAGTCCTGAAGCATGTAGCCCCTTTGTTCCATCCTCTCTTTTCTGTTAGTTCTGTTATTTATGTTGACATGTTTGTAACAATTTGTCACTGGCATCCATGATTTGACAACGTTGATTTGGATTCTGTATAGACGGCTCCAACCAGCCAGTCTATTGAGGAATGGAGGAGTTTTACTGTATATACTTGAAGTTCTTGAAGTATACTTGTATATTTGATTGCGTGTGTATACATACTGAATTTTAATATTCTGTATTAGTCTTTTTTTGTACGTGATTGTTTTATATACATTCTATGTATATACACACGCAATAGTTGCATCTATACACTTTTGCTGCCGCTACGATTTTGGCCATTGAATTCTGCCGCTAATTTTCAAAACTGCCGCTAATTTGAAAGAATAGCCGCTGGGATTTGCCAAACACGCTACAAACACGGAATGCACTGAACAAAACCTTGACAGTTGAGGACTGAAACATGCGTTTGACAACATCAACAGTCTGGTATATGGATGTGGGCGACGGCCACATCAAACAACTTAATGACTGCTCAAAAAAAAAAAAGCATCCCCAAAGTTAATAGCCATTTCTATTTTCAAGGAGTTCATGAAGTTATTAATTACGTGAATAAAAGTCTTGGAGTTCGAAGACTTATAGCATAAACTTCATGAATAGTGGTTCAGGGATCCTTGATTTTCATGAAGAATCTTTCCTGGAGTTCATGAATTTCCTGAACATGCTTCTGTTTTTGAGACATAAATTTGACGGCAAGTTTCCGGAAATTCATGAAAATCATCAATCTAATTCATGAAACAAATGAACATCATGCTTCGAGTTCATGAACTTCATGAAGAGATCTCTTGGAATTCATGAAATTCTGCTAAAAGCATTCTGAAGTGTAGATCATATATGGGATGTCCGGGCTCCATGATTGTCTTCGAGGAGCCTGTTTGGAACTCTTTAAAGTTTGGAACTGACCTACGTTTTTTTTGGTTTCGGCAGTACTGTTTTCATTTTAGCAAGGCGTTCGTATCAGGAAGTGAAAGGCCCAGATTGACAAACTCTACTGTTTGTGCCTGTTCATGAATGATTTGGCCTGTTTGCTTACCATTATGAAGAAGCATTGTTTACCTCATCAATCAGTCTCGTTGCAACAAACCATGAGACTGAAATGCCAAACATGTTCAACAGAAAAAATATGTGAATCAGATTCAAATCCTTCAGGCACAAGTGCCTATACAAGTGATAGATCAGGCAGCAGCGGAAACTGTTGCTAAATCAAGAAAACTGCCGCCAAATCAAAAAAACAACTTTTTTAAAGGCAGAAAAACAGAACCCAAAGGAGGATGCCGGTATATAGTGGTATATATATATATACTGTATATATCATACATATATATATATACACACACCCTCCAAGTACCTACACAAATTTGTAATTTACCTCATTTAAATCCAGACAATTGTACCCCATGTTTATGGAATTTACCCCATGGAAATATACGGAAATATTCTATCAAAATACTTGTAGATATAGTACCGTTTGGTACTTTAACGGTTTGCGAGCTGCAAGCCATGGCCTTTTTTTGCTGAGAAAGATGATGATTTACCTTTCAAAACTGGTGATTTATCCATCATTAAATGAGCAGTTAAATAATCATTTTTAAGGCTACTTATCCATATTTATCCCGTCAAAACTGCGGTTATTTATCCATATTTATCCCGTCAATCCGATTAAATGCGCTATTTTACTCCATTTTATGGCTACTTGGAGACTCCAGCCACGCTGCCTGAGGCCTTAGCACCTGAGAGCCCCACCAGAGCCTTGGACGCGGCCTTGAACGACGAGGCGGGGGAAGTGGTGATTTTTACGAGATTTTAATGGGAGTATAATGGTAGTATCAATGAATAATGGGATATATCTTAATGGGATTTCATTGATAGCATCATTGAGTGGTGAATTTAATGGGATTGTATCATCATGGGATATCAATGGATATAATGGCATTGTATTTTATGGGGTTGTAATTATTAAGTAGTGATTATCAAAAAATAATGGGACTATCATTGGATATAATGGGGATCATGGGCCAAAAATATTATGCGTTTTCTTCTAGTGTGGGTAGAACAATGCCATAAACAAAGCATGTGGGAAAAACCACCTACTTATGGTGATTTGGGAGGTACATTAGACATGTTTATGATTAGTGTTAGTACATGCTAGTACTATGTTGACATATGTTGACTAGGATTGATTGCTATATTTATTACATATGTATTGCAATGTTTGTGTTTATTGGTGTTATGACTATGTATGTTACAACTCATTGCATTTTTGTGTTTTTGTCATTATGTTTATATTATGCGTATTATTATTGTGTTTCGTTGTATATATTCATTGTTGGTGATATTTAGTCATGGTCGGTGGCTTCAGGAAAAAGTTGCAATCAAGTTTTAGCCAACTTCGGTGATTTGACCGAATTCTAGCACTTCAACGAATTAGATGTTGATGATCTTGCAATTGACAGCAATGTCAAAAAGGTATGTTTCTATCATGTAATGACCCTCGGAAGAAAGGTGGCTTGGCATTTCCATTGGTTTCTTACAGTACTATCCCTAGCGGCCCTAGCCGTGATCCCTGGTCCTTTCACACCCCCAACAAAAACACCGTTGTGGGGGTCCACCGGTGCCCTAGGAGGTGCATGAGCTGGCGCAAGAGGCCACGAGGAGTCGAGTAGCATTTGTACTCGGTCGCAGGACATGGTTGTGATGTTTGGCATGGATGATAGATACCCTCTGGTAAACAAACATAGCTTTTGAAAATGGCCATTCCTAGTTGATTTATACCCATTAAAAATGGTGATTAATGATGGATAATATGCCATTAATGATGGATAGCCGCTATAAAATGTATAATATACATATATATATATAAATACACCACATTCCATCCACAATCTATAGATATGGGTTCTATTGCTGGTCAAGAATCATAAATGGATATTATATGATGGATTATTATGGATGGATGATGGGTAATTATGGGTTATTGTGATGTATACATGCAATATCATACAAGAGTGCATGTTAAAAAAAAAAAACATAGATGGATGATTGCCATATCCTAAATGATTAGAGATCTTTGTTAATAATCCAGTTTACAAATTCAAGAAGATGCAGTATGTATTGGAAAATATTGGGATGGTATATGCAAATGGTTTCCCCTATGGCAACCAACATCGCAGGCTGGAATTCCTCGAATTGTAGATGCCTGTTCCAAATTGGAGAACTTCGATTGCTGTGATTGATTAACAACGAGTGCCTAATGTACCAAACACTTTGCCTTTGACAAGATTTTAGTGATTTATAGTATATATCAAGTTTAGTTTACCACATTGAAAGGCTGGCTCGTCACATCTTTTGATTTGCATGGAATTTTCTGACCAAAGAGCTGAGATGCAGCTGTGTTTTTTTTTTTTTTTATGGGGGGGGCATGGGTCAAGTTAGGTCATTCGGTACCCCGACGAGTGGAATTGTTAAGTACTGTAGTTACTGTAGATCATATTAGATCTACAGTAGATGGTGTAGATCATGTAGATGGTAAACTAGCATAACTATGGAAAATCACAATTTTTCATGGGAAAACTCACTATAAATGGCCATTTTCAATAGCTATGTTAAATTACCAGAGGGCCAAATGGTTTTAATCGGCTCATCGCCAGGACCAAGTTGGATGCGATGACCAAGATGAACCGACCACCAGAGTTGCAGGAGGCGACTAGTGACCCCACTGAAAATTCATCATGGAACTCCCAGAAAAAAAATCCTGGATCGAATCTGGTAGAAAATGTAGATGTTCATGTCGTACAAAAACCCTTAAGATACCCATCATAAATTGTGAAACCTTGGTGGATCTGAAAAACCATGCCGATTTCTTTTTGGCCACACAGAATCCAGAATCCATATGCCTAGATCATCCCAAGGTATATTATATTGTCAGTCAATGTTTATGTCAGTCTATTGTCTATATCCCCAGAAAAATAAATCGATCACCCATTTGGGTGTATCTGAAAATGTGGTATACCCCTCCGCAAACTGTCATTTAATGAGGAAAATGATGGTAATCCGCGTGCCACATTTTTCAGACCCATTGATGGTAGATGTATATCACCTGGTATATCACTTAAATGGTTTTCACCTGGTATATCACCTGATGACTATGAAAATCCAGGTATATCACTTATATCACCCAAAAACACCTTGCAACTCGGGTTGGAAACGTAGGCGTTCTCCGTCTTGGAAACTTTGCCCTTCCTGCGGCCTGAAGACAGGCGCCGAGTCAGTTGAGTGGAACCCGTTTTCCGGTTCAGAACTACTGGATTCAAGGGGATTAATGGTGAGAGTAATGGTGATTAATGGAGATAAAACCAGCATTTATAATTATGTTTACTTAGTTTGCTAGCAAAAATCTGGGGTTCATGCTGAATATAATTGTCTATATCTATTTCATGGAACGAAACTAAAACCAACATTCACATCACTGTGGGGCACCACCTCATAGGACCCGCCGAGGTGAGGTGAGTTAGCTTCTCGAAATTCGTCTGGCATAGCAATGACAATCCAAATAGCAAT